ATTCATCACCCATTCAATAAGTACGAAATTTAACATAAATTACTCACTATAATATTGTCATTGCTCAGATTAAGCATAGTTTTCATAGCCTTCAATTTAGTTTGGTTAAAGAGCCATCAAATAGAAAATCAGATCCCTCTTGCCACACCCACCTGTCACATGTTTCGGAGTTTGTCAATAGTTATCTTTTATGTTTAATACTATATTATTTTGAACCAATAGAAATCCAAGGTTTTCATCTATCAAATGACGTATTATATAATGTTGTTTTCTAGACAGAGAATTGTCATTTTATCTGTTAGTACAGTCTTCGTTCCCATGAGAAACATATCAACTAGCTTGGATGAACTTCTAATGGCTCTTGTTGCATAGTTAGAAAGACAGAAAAATTTGATAATTATAGGACATTGTCTGCTTTATACATGTTATTATTCTATATTCTTTGGTGCATTATCTTAATAAAAAAAAATATTTAGTGCACTACTCTTGCTGGTATAAAAAAGAGTAGGGTTAAGTGTCATCAACAGTTGACAGCAAAAAAATGAATGTCCAAGTAAGTACTTTATTTCTTGTTTTTCAAACGTATTCTTTACTTATTTTTATAAAAGTAAGTAAAATGTAAACACAAGAATCTCTTTAGCTTAGTTAAGGTTAGATTAGATAAAATGAATAATATAATAAATATTTTCATGAGGCACACATGTGAGCAGCTCGGAGTAGCTTGTGGGTAATGTAATTTGGTAGCATACTCACCCCATGTTCCACAGTTGATTTACATGAAAATAGTTAGAAACAGTTCAAACGACAATAAAATAATAAAATTTAAGTATAAATAGATGTATACTGTTATGAATTTAAAGCTGTGTAGGATAAACAAATCTAGTTTCATGTTACAATTTGAAGTCATTCTAGAAAGAAAAAAGGGTAATTTAGACTTGTTTCGATATGTTTTGGTAGTTATAAAGTCAGTAAAATTGATTTCAAAAATAGCAGATAAAATATAAAGTTTTACTGAAAAAAATTCTGAAGTGTATTTAGGAGGTTTTATAGATTACGCACATGAAATTTATGATTTTTGAGATGAATAAAAGCATTTTTAATCTCAACACTAAAAATCACTTTGCATTCCGACTAGTCAAAAATATGAATAGATATAATCATGGTCAAATCTGTTTTAGTTTATTAAAAACACCTTCACTAAAAATCTGATTTTTTTTGTATGTAAAAGACTTGTAATGTTTACTGAAAGTAACATATATAGTATAAACATACTATATTAAAATATTATAGTATTAAAACTAAAATGACATTAAATGAATACAAAGTGATCATGTGGTCAGTCAATTCTGCCTAGTCTGTGTAGAGAGAGTTAGATACTTTTCTGCAGAAGTTACTGTGTTATATTCAAAATTTAGTTAAACACCTATACTATCAATTTATACAAATGAAATTAATATTTTAATGTAGTTTATGATTTGAAGTTTTATGTTATTTAAGTTTTAATTCTTTATTTCAAAATAAACCTTATAAAAACTACTTAAAACTTCAGATTTATTGTCATGTGACCAATGAGCTATGAATATTCTCTACTTTGGCACTCTGTATCCTCAGTAATACAATGGAAGTACTGTAGATGTATGTCTAAACTAATATTACCTTTTGACATAACCTTTCGACTAGTATATTTTAAAGTTTTCTGAATCAATGAAGTTGAAACAAGCAAAATTTTCTCAACCCTTGACAGTTGCCATGCCCACCTTCAACAGACTTGTTTGAGTTTTAAAGCCTACATGTAGATGTTAGATACAAATGTGTATAGTCATTAGAAAAAGCTCATTTTAGTTTTTGAAATTGGTGTGCAGCTGTCGTCACGGGTTACATGTAACTGACTGTAGCATTGTTGGCTGCTTGATTGACTTATGGTTGTTTCTTACCTAAATATGTTATAGTTAAAGATACAGTTTAGATTGTATGTAAGTGTTACTTTTATATTTTAGTTAATTATGTATTAATTATGGTGTAAAATGCATAATGAAAAGGTTTAAACATTTTTAAAATATGTATCATACTTTGTCAGTTCTCAAGGCTTGCAATATTACATAGTTCACAAAAATTTTGCTGAAGGGTTGCACATGTCTGCTCGACAATATAATACGCCTCAAGGGCACCATTAACTTGTGTTGAGATGAATAATAAGTGGTAAAGGACAAGGAAGGAAAATAAAACATTAAAAATTAACTGTATGTTAAAAGGAAAAGAGATGAAATTACAAATTTAAAAAAGGAAGATCTTTGAAGATATTCTAAAAAGGTATGTATTTTTTCATATTTCCTAATTTTAGTTATTTCATTGCATTGTACATTGATGATAATAGCTAGAGTTAGTGACATGGTAGAGAAAATGAAAAACAAAATATAAACACTTACCTTTAAAAACTTTTGATGTTCTTTATGAGGTTCTAGAGATTATGCAAATAAAATATGAAACTATAAAATGAGGAAAAATATTTTTATATTTAAAATGGAAAACATCTTGCACTTGACTTGTTAAGAGTTTGAGTACAAGTAACTACAGTAGATAAATAACATATCTTTAGTAAAAACACTTAATTATAACAATGTCATTCTTTGTGCTACAAGATATTAATTATTTTTAACAAAATCTTGCCACTTTTTGTGAGGATGTATTAAGGAGTCTCAAAGCTATTGTTGTACAAGTGAAATTAGTAACTCAAATTTCTGCATGAGCCTGATGCGAAAAGGTTAACACATTATGTGGCTTTTTCTCCTCTTTTGTTTATCCTATGCTTTTCAAAGTAAGTTACAAATGATGATCGCATTGTACAGTTATTACCCTTCATTTTTCAGATTAAATCACAGAAAATTATCAGGTTATACATCTGTTATTCTCCAGATTAAACTAAAGATACATTGGATTGTACA